ATATATATATATATATATATATATATATATATATATGGCAGAATAGTTGAAATATGAAATGTGATTAAAATGGCATCAAGAGAAACAGTATATCTTGATGATTAGGTTGTGACTCTGGAACCAGACTGCCAAGGCCAAATCCCCTATCTGCTCTTTGGCTAGTTGGGTGACTTTGTACAAGTAAGTTGATTTCTCAGTGTATCCATTGCCTGATCTATAAAAAGGAGTATTTATAGTGACCAATTCATAGGTTTGTTGTGAGAATCCAATTTAGAAAAATACTTTGCACACAGTAGCATTTAATAAGCATTTTCAAATGATTCCTTTCTTGAAAAGAAAAATGCATATATTTGTTATATACAATTGAGGACAGTTTTCACTTATGTTTTGTAATTCAGAATTACATATAAAATTCAGCAAATAACACATTGCTAAACTTGAATACAGTAATAATATATTTTTAAAGAACTTCAGCTTTATCTCAGTGTTTACAAGCTTATAAGTGAAAAAGGTATCAACAGTTGAAAGCTCTCATAAAATAATACCTGTAATACATACTTTATGTCTTCTCAAGAGAGTACTTGAAAAAGATCAGGGGGAAATATTCCTAGATTTAACCTATACATCTACGAAACATTTTCTCTGTTTAAGGATGAAATAGTAGCCCCAGTCCATAAAGCCCTCATTTAATGTTTTATATGTATAAAGAGATAAAAAGACATTGTTAGGCTATGTCATTATATTTAGAATTTTATATTTAGGGTCAGACAAGAACCATAGATAGATGAGAGAAACAACATGATTACAAACTTTTTAAAAACCCCAGCCACCCCATACACACACACACACACACACACACACACACACACACACACACACGCTCAAACAATGCCTTCTCTCATTTTGCATTTGTATCTGAATGGGAAGAGGTTAAGAAGTAAAGTGTAGAACAAAATTACCCAATAGAAATTAAATGTGAGCCACAAAAGTAAGCCATATATATGTATATATTTAATTTTCTAGTAGCCACATTACAAAAGCAAAAATAAACAGATGAAATTCATTTTAATATGCTGTTTTATTGAATACAGCCAATCAAAAATATTATTTTGATATGGCCATATTTAATAAACGTGTTATACATTTATCTAATTCATTAAATAAATTTATTATATTGATTTAATTATTAAACAAAACTAATAATAACATATTTTATATTCTTTGTTTCATAGGAAGTCTTCAAAATCCAGAGTGTATTTCACACTTAAAGACCATTTCAATTAGAATTAGCTACATTTCTGTACTCAATAGCCACCTGTAGCTAGCAGCTGCCAAGTTGGATGGCACAGGTTAGAATAAGTGTTTCTGTTCCTTGCATGAGTCAGAAAGAAAGTTCATTGAGTTTTTTAAATTATTCTCTCAACTCTCATAAATTCTTTCAGTGGTTAAAATCCTCTAGTACCAGAACTGAAAGAAAATATGGATAAGAGAAAAATGCCAAATCTGACATATTTAAAGAGAGTGCTATGACAAACAGGATTACAGAAAAAAAATACAAGATTTATCAGGTAATTTTCAGAAATGCTTAAAGGTAGACAACGACAAAGTTACAGAATGTTAAGTTTCCACCAATGCATCTCAACTGCCTAGACTACATTTCATGAGATGCATTTATTAGCCTTTCAGTGTCACTGCTAACATTTCATAAACTTCAATATCTCATTCGCTATTATTATTACTACATAATTTTTATCATTTTCAAGCCTACAATGTAACCTACAGACCTAGGAATCAGCTACAATCAGCTCTGCTACTGACAAAGCAGAGAAAACAATACTTTTCGTGTGGTTTGCTTTGAGTTTTAAAGTAAGAACAACTTAGAATTTCTTCACCCTGAAAAGTTTGCTCATCTTTCAAAAAAAAAAAAAGAAAGAAAGAAAAACGAATCTGCTTATTAGCTAATTCTTTTAGGTTCCACAATGCTTTCTCCATAATATTTTATTCCCTTTTATATTGAGGCACATGCCTGGAATCTTTCTTAGTTAAATGATCTTGAAAGGGTAGAAAAATTTCATACACCTTTGATTAACTCTTACGTGTAAACCAATGACAGAACCAGAACTATGAAATCCTCATAAAATTCTTCTGGAGCTTATATTTCCCTTGAAAAGCAAAATGCACAGCAAGCCTAAAGCCTACACTCTGGACTTTGGACAGAAAGATAGTTCTCTTTCGACATTGACAGGGTCTTTAGAAAACTTATCTACTCTCATAAAATCACGTAATATCTAACGTTAATGAATCAGCAAATATATTTTTATAGTCCAGGTATTTCTTCTAAACTCAACAACCGATAACCTATTGACTCTCAGCTTATTTCTCCCAAGTATCTCTATATTGGGGGACCTATCCTCCCAGCTGTCCAGGGACTACCCCAGTTTAGTCACTGAAATTCCTGCATTCTGGGAAACCCTTCAGTCCAGGAAAGTGAGACAGTTGGTAACTTTTATTGTGCCCCACCTTGACTATATCAGATTTGTCTCAAACTTACTCTCATCTTAAATTCCTAAGTTTTTGGCAGTCAGGAAATCCACACAGACATACATGTTATGAAAGCAACCTTAGACTTTTCCCTCCTACTTGCAATTGTTATTTTCTTTCTTCATTTAATATTTATTGTCAACTTTGTCAAAGATCAGATGGTTATTGGTGTGCAAATTCATTTCTGAATGCTTTGTTCTGTTCTGTTGGTCTATGTGTCTGCTATTGTACCAATCCCATGCTGTTTGGTTACTGTAGCCGAATAAAATATTTTGAAGTTGGGTAATGTGATGTCTCCAGCTTTGCTCTTGTTGTAGTGGGGAAAGGACTCTGTATTCAATAAATGTTGGTGGGATACCTGTCTAGTCATGCACAGAAGAATGAAATTGGACTCTTATCTTTGAGAATATATAAAAATTAACTCAGGATACATTCAAGATTTAAATGTGAGACCTCAAACTATAAGAATCCTAAAGGAAAATCTAGAAAACACCACTTGAGACATTGGCCTTAGAAAAGAATTTATGAACAAGTCCTCAAAAGCAACTGCAACAAAACAATTAATGAGTGGAACTGAATTAAACTGAATGTTTTTGCACATTAAGAAACTATCAACAGAGTAAACAGACAACCTACAGAATAGGAGAATATATTCACAAACTGTGCATCCAACAAAGATTTAATATCCAGAATTCATAAGGAACTTAAGCAAATGAACAAGCAAAAACGAAGTAACTACATTAAAAAGTGAGCAAAATGTACATTCTTCTCAAAAGAAAACATGCAAGTGGCCAACAAACATATGAAAAATACTCTATGTTACTGATCATCAGAGAAATGCAAACCAAAAGCACAATGAGATATCATCTCACAGCATTCTGATGATGTTTATTATACCAAAAAGCACATGCATTCTTAGATTCACCACAGCACTATTCACAATAGCAAAGACATGGAATCAACCTGGGTGGTGGACATTAATCAACCATTAATGGTGGACTAGATAAATACAATGTGGTATATATACACCATGGAATACTATGCAACCATAAAAAAGAACAAAATCATGTCCTTTGCAACAACATGGATGTAGCTGGCTACCATTGTTTTAAGTGAATTAATGCAGAAAGAGAAAACCAAATACCCCTTACTCTCACTTATAAGTAGGAGCTAAACATTGGTTAGTCATGGACATAAAGATGACAACAGTAGACACCCAGGATATTAGAAGAGGGAAGATGGGGGAGGGAGAGGATTGAAAAACAAACAATTAGGTACTATGCTCACTTCCTGGGTGACATGTTCAATTTTATCCCAAATTTCAACATCATGCAATATGCCCATATAACAAATCGAAAAATGTATCCTCTGAATCTAAAATAAAACTTGAAATTATTTTTTAAAGTACATTTTATTCACTATCAACTAGGAATTTATCACTTAGAAAAGATTTCAAAAATATCCGTTTTTTTGTTGTTGCTGTTGTTGTTTTTTGAGTTGACATTTCATTGTGGAAAGATGGAAAATAAATAGAAAAATAAAATAATAAATAACTTTTCATAAATAGTGATGTAAAAACAAAATAAAGCATAATAAAGAGAGAAGGAAGTACAGAACATATGTGTAGAAACTACTGACAGTACCAGCAATAGCAAGTTATGCACCTTTTACATTAAACTTCTGATTCATGGGAGCAATCTCCATTGCTAGATTCAAGGTGACATTTGTCTTAGTAAGTGATGATAATCTCAAACCCCCTTGCCAAAGGCAATAGATCTCAAGCTAGAACCAATTAACTCCAACATTGGTCTGGCAAATGAGATGCATTCAGATTTAAATACATGACCCAATCAATCTCATGAATTTTGAAAGCGTTTAGATATATGTCCCTGCCCAAATCTCATGTTGAATTTTAAACCCCAGGACTGAAGTTGGGACCTATGTGGAGGTACTTGGATCTTGGAAGCAGATCTCTCATGGCTTGGTGCTGTCTTTGTGATGTGAGTTCTCATGATATCTGGTCATTTAAAAGTGTGTGACACCTCCCCCCACCTTTCTCTCTTGCTCTCATTCTTGCCAAGTGATATGCCTGCTCCTCTGCCTTCTGTCATGAATGGGAGCTTCCTGAGGGCTCCCCAGAAACAGATGCTGTCATGATTTCTGTAACTGCAAAACCATGAGCCAATTAAAACTCTTTTCTTCATACATTGTCATTTCAGGTATTTCTTTGCAGCAATGAAAGAATGACCTAATACAGATTTACATTCCAATATTGTGTGAGAGGTATCCTTTCTTTTTTTATTAGATTTCAACATACAAACATATTGTTCAGCTGCTATTGGTAGTCATTTTGTTTGTTCAAGAAAGAAACCAAAGCTATATAAAAAGTCAAGAAACAGAGCAAGAGACCAATGCACAACTGATAGGCAACTATACTTTTTTTATTTTCTGTTAAGTGATATAAAATATGGACTCATCATGAAAGCCAGTTGAATTTCAGATTCCATTATTAGCTACATATGTGGTACAGACTCTTTTACCTCAATGACTATTAATGTACTGTTTCTTCTATTCAGAATGTATTTCTTTCATTTTTTACTTGGATGGACTGCAAGAGCCAGCATAGTTTCAGCCTTTTTTTTTCACTCAACCACTTCAGCCTGTGTTAGCTATTCCTCACCTCTGCTTCAGTAGTACCACAATACAAAACTTATCACACATTGCAGGTGTATGCTTATGTCAATTGTATTACATCTAAATTGGAAGAGAGGAATTAAATTATGACTAAGAAGCCTCCTCTCTTAAATATTCTCTTATTCAGTTATACAATTGTATTTTAAACTCTAAAAATTGATAGACAATGCCTCCATCATAGTCCTGCTCTGTAAATATTAGCAATGTTATTGTACACCGAGGAAAGGTAAAATTTAAACTTGCCTTAGAGTTGCCACTTATTTATTTTGACAACTAAATATAATACCTAATTTTTCCAGTGAATATGACAGATTTCTTTTCATTAAATTATTTTCTTATGACATGGATTTGAAAAATAAGATACTTTTATTTCCTTTTAGGTAAACAGGTAAGTTTCAAAATTTTGACAATGTATATTCAAATATGCTTTCTTTCACCAAAAGGCAAAGTTTTAAGTCAACTTAAAAATATTTCCAGGCTGGGTGTGGTGGCTCACATTTATAACACCAGTGTTTGGGAAGCTGAGGCAGGAAGATTGTTTGAGTCAAGGAGTTTGAGACCAGTCTAGCAAACATGGTGAAAAACCCATCTCTACAAAAAATTAGCCAGGCATGGTGATCAAGGCTGCAGTGACCTGTGACTGTGTAACTGAGCTCTAGCCTGGGCAAGAGTCAGACATCATCACCCCTGCACCAAAATATTATTCTCCACAATTATTTCTTTTTCAGGTATTGATATTTCTTCTAAGTCACATTCATAAGCAAAATTGGATTAGTCAATACAAATTTTTTATATGTGAAATACATCACCACAAAATATATTTTCCCTTTTCATATGATTTGGATCAAGATGACTCGTAGCTAAGCCAAATTCTTTGATTCTTTGTTTCTCCACCAAGAATTTATCTTTAAATCTTTGCTGTGTTCTCTAATTCACACTGAAATTTATGTAATAAATTGACCAGAAAATGAGAAACCTATGCAAATGATGTTTTTTCCCCTGGAAAGTTTCCTGTAAGAAACAGATTCTGCAGTTTTCTAATGATAAAAAATAATAATAAGGGAAAGAGGTCGGGTAATTTGTGAAGGAAACAATGAGATAATAATTGAGTGGACAGAAGAATATACTAAGCATCTTATACTTTTTGAAAGTAAATTTCAGCTGAAGCATTGAAATCTAGTTGTCACCCTAAAGAAATATAACTTTAGAAAGTTTATGAAGTTCCTTGTTGCGTGTGTTTTGTCCTGCTAATATCAAAGCATCAACACTTCAACAAAAGCTCACCTTCTGTATTTACGAAGACAAATTAGACGTCCACAGGGAGCAGAGGTGATTAGAATCCACTAAAGAATGTTAGGAACAATATGTTTACACCTGGTAGGTGGCTACCTGGTGGATTGAAAGCACTTAAATTGTTGGAATGATTTAGGTAACTGTGAAGGTAGGAATTATTTTTAATTATATTTTATATTTATATGCATTTCTCAATTTTGATGTGGAAAGCATGACTGGCGGTAATAATGGGATAATAAAATCAATTGCACTGTTATGCTTCTTATTTCTAGAAAAATAGCTTTAAATCTAATTTATATGTCTCTCTATCTACAAATTTTGTTGTGAAATAAATATAAGTTTAAACTTATCAAAGAAATTCCTGGATAGTATTGACAGGGACAGGGGGCAGAGAAAGTCTAGACAGAAAAAGTGGGTCCCCAGTGAAACCCACCCTGAATCCAAGAAGCCTGAAATAACATCCCAAAGTGAGTACTGATATACCTGTTTCACTGCTTAAATGTTGCCTTTTCCTATACCACCCATGGTCCCACTCTATCCTGTGCCTATAAAAATCCCAGACTCAGCCGGTAAACAGAGCTATGGCTGGACGTCGTGTTATACCCTAGCAAGTTAGAAGGAAAGCGCTACACTTTGAGTTCCAATTGACAGTCTTATTGCTGGTAACCAAGAGTCAGCTCTCACTCAAAATCTCTCTGCCCTGGAAGAGGGGGATGGGATTTCCTTTTATAACTATCCTAAAAGAGAGGGGAGGGGGAGACTAGCTGAAGTGGAATTTTACAGAAGCAGACAAGCAAATTAGTAGGAGGAAGCTGATTACCGGGAGACAGGAGGTTCCCATACTTGCTGGTTACTAAGAGTATTTCCATATGATCATCTAGGGAGGTAGCAGGGGGGACTTTCCATACAATCAATCACCACAGGGGGTCCAAGGAGAAGTATTCACAGTAGCAGGTGTGCTAGTCAAGCAGGATGTGTTTACAACAGTTACAAGGCTCTGAGTACAGCGTGACCCAGCTGTGCACCCAAGGGAGAAATGGCGGGGAGGGACAGGCTAAAATGGTGTTGACAGCTAAGATGGAGTCAGTTAGGCCAGGACAAGTCAGGCTATCACAGTTGTAGACAAGCAGCTTGACTTCAGAGGGACAACTTGACAGTGTAACTTTGGAGAAGAATCCAACATAAGACAGCCAGACTTGAAGGGAAGATTACTTACCTGTCCCATCCCCTTTTCAGTTTTTCTTCCAACTGAGAGCCACTTTCATCAGCAATAAAATACCCCACAATTGACATCCTTCAATTTGTTTGTGTGATCTCATTTTTCCTGGATGCTAGACAAAAGCTGAGGAGCCACGAGTAAGGGTACAAAAGGCTGTTGCACTGGCCCCCTGCTCTCACTCGTGGCGGGCAGCAACCTCACGCAAAAAGGCAAAGGGTCCACTGAGCTGTTAACACATAAGCCATCTGCGGATGGCAGAGCTAAAAGAACACCATAATACCATCTGGGGCTTTGGGAATCACACACACTCCCACCTGGATGCTGCTGTGGGGCCCACACACGGCTTGCTCTTGCTGGCATCCAAAAGTGGTTGACTGAGTACATGAAACACCCTTATCATGAGTCTCATGAAGGGGTCAAGGAAATATCCTATTCCAGTATAGTTAGTAAACATATAGAACAGAAAATTTTGTCATGAAAAAATAATCTTCCCCCGCAATCTTTCTAACCTCAATTATAATTTCTTGAATCAACTTTTTTTAGATATTTGTCTTTTTTTTTTTTTGCTGTTGACTAATGGCTTAAGGCTCTATTTCTTGATTTATCAATTTTAAGCAGTATCTAATTATTCCTTTATAAGAATTGAAAGTGGGAAATTTAGGTTACTTAAAAAAATCTAATTCACTTGCTTTCACATTCACATCTAAAATTGTTCCGTAACTATAGTCAGCAAAGTGCTAGTAAATGTTTAACATTAAGCTCAGTGAGGAAGAAAAAGGCACTCATTCGTAGCACTTGCCAATTTCTACAATGTGAATACTCCCAACATAGCCAATTTCAAAGTATCAGTCAATGGGCTACAAAAATCTCTAAAAATTTGGCCTGGCTTGATGGCTCATGCCTATGATCCCAACACTTTGGGAGGCAGAGGCAGGCAGATCGTCTGACATCCGGAGTTCCAGACAAGCCTGACCAACATGGAGAAACCCCATCTCTACTGAAAATACAAAAAATTAGCCAGGCCTGGTGGCATGTGCCTGTAATCAGCTACTCCAGAGCCTGAGGCAGGAGAACTGCTTGAATGTGGGAGGCAGAGGTTGCGGTGAACGGAGATTGGGCTATTGCACACCAGCCTGGGTAACAAGAGCAAAACTCCATCTCAAAAAAAAAAAAAATCTCTAAAATTTTAGCAATTATT